CTTTCGACATGGGGGACACAACATGTGAAGACACACTTGTGCCTCCTGCTGAAGAGCCAAAAATGGTGACCCGGCCAGGGTTGCCTCCAAAGTAAGCGATATTCTGCTGGACCCAACGTAGGGCAGCCACTTGATCCAGGTAGCCCCAGTTGCCTCTGGCGTGCTGGTCTCCAGTGCTGAGATGTGGCAGGAACAGGAATCACAGATCTGTCTATGCTCTACTCAGACCCCATTGTCCAGCCCAGTTCCAGGCTTACCTGAAGAAGCCGAGGATACCCAAGCGATACTGGATAGCAACCATTATTATATCCTCTGTAGCAGCCAGTATGGATCCATCATTCATGGAAGCCATTCCCAGAACAAGTGAACCACCATGAATCCATACCATAACCTGGAGACATCAATACAGAACTCTGGAGGACCACACCCAGTCCAAGATCAACTGTAGTGTCTACTATTATCAACTGCTTTGTCTTTGTGTGGGTTGACATACACATTGATCTCCTACTCAGGATTTTAGGACATGGTCCACCGATGGGGTACTCTAGGCCTACAAGCATATTTCCATTCTCAATTTCCCATCAGGAAATCTCGGCATGAATTAATGCCTCGAGATCTAAAATGATGACATCATCACTCTCTGACCTGACCCATCAAAGTGGAGCAAACAGGAATATCTCCACGTGTGTTTCTTTCTGATTACTAATCAGAAGGGACATCAGATCTCATTGGCACAACAGATAACCTGCAGCTATAAATATTGGTGTTGATAATAATAAAGACCTTGAGCACCCTCCAGGGAAGCTCTGCCAGGTTCAAGTTGATAGAAGAATTCCTGGTTTAATCAAAGACCTTGAACCTCTTACATCTAGAGTCCCAGAGCTCTGAGTCATACCCCCAGACTTAAGCAGCTCAACATAGCTGGGATGACCTCCTTCACCCCATAAGGTAAGACTACTAATAAGGGTCTAAACTACAGGGGATCTCAGAATTACTTTAGCCCTTCCAATCTTCCAGAGAAAGAAACATCCTCTCCCCCAGCTGATGATATCCTGACACTCACAGGTAAGTTAGAACCTTCATTGGCATGAGCTGGTGTGTAGATGTTGAGATACAGGCAGTCCTCAGACATAGGCACGTTCATCATCCTCTCCTTCGGGGCCTGTGGGTTTGTCTGCAGACACCCGGTGAAAACGGAAGACAGATAGCCCAAGATAGGTGGTGGTCAAACCTAAATCATAGTCTGAATTTTCTCTCAGCCACGTTCAGACACTACTTTCCATGATGCCAATGATAACATCTGGCCCCTCTCTGAAGTCCCTTCCTGCCAAGGTAAAGGCCACCAGCTCTGTAGAGAAGAAGATGAAGCAATACTTTTAGGCGGGCCTCCAATTGGATAGTAACATCCTGAATAGGCTAGTATCCTCCGGTTGGGTAGTAATATCCTGAATAGGCTAGTATCCAGAGACTGCTGACTTCCTCTGTGAGGATGAGCATCTTCCTGTACTGGCGTTCATCACTCCTACATTATCTAATCCTGGTGTGGGCCTAGTTTTGATTGTTGACTTTACACAGTGTGAAATTACCTGGAAAAATAATCAAAATGAGGGAGTGTCTAGACCAGCGGTTCTCGACTTTCCTAAAGCTGCGACACTTTAATACAGTTCCTCCTGGTGTGTTGACCCCAACCATAACACTGTTCCTTAACTGTAATTTTGCTACTGGTATGAATTATAATGTAAATATATAATATGCAGGATAACTGGTATTCAGCCCCTGCGGGGATAGCAACCCACAAGAATCAAACCACTGGTCTAGATCATTTGCCTGTGGGCTTGCCTGTGGCAAATTATCCTGGTTATATTCATTGAGATAAAAACGCCTGCCTGTTGTAGGAGGCACCATTCCCTGGGAAGGGGCCTCTGAACTGTGTAAGAATGGAGAGAGTAAGAGAAGGATTAGCAGGCATACATGTGACCCATAGGCTGCGCTTCTGACTCTGGATGTGATGTCATCAGTTCCCTGAAATTTCTGCCCTGTGGTTTCCACCTATGGTTGATTATTTCCTGGAATTGTGACCTGTAGTAAAATCTTTCTTCTCCTCACTTCCTTTATCAGGGTCCTCTATCACAGCAACAGAAATCAAGCAAAGGTACTCAGTAGTGGAGAATCTGCTCACAGAGGATCCATAGGATGAAAAAGACAATCCCACAGGGTAGTGAGACATTCTCCATCTCACTCCAGACACTCACGGTCCCTCCTTCTTCCACATTGTCTCCAGTGGAAAGCATGTGTCCTTAGCCAATGGCACCTGGACAATGAGTGGTCACAGTGACCATGAAGAATGGCCTTAGTCTCCGTTCCTCACTGCAGTACCTGCAGCTGAGTCCCTATAGGCATCAAGCTCTGACCCAGGAGCCTGGCACCATTGTTCCTCTCTAATCCTTAGCACATTCCTCTGAAAACTGCATGGGAGATGCCCTCAGGACAGACAGAACACTGCTATAGAGCTGAGAGGGAGGAAGCACAGCAGTGTGGCTAGAGCTCATGTCTGAGGGTCCCTGGGCCCCAGAACTTACATGGTTGGCTCAGAGGTTGCATCTCTCACACCACTCCATGGCTCAGGGGGCTCAGGAGGTGCAAATCGAAGTTGTCCTACAGGTGGCTTGGCAAACGGAATTCCCCGGAATGTATAGACACCAAGTTCGCCATCTTTCACGGGGACAAGGCTTCCTCTCACCTGCCCTGTGTGTGTGTTCCTGATAGGGCTGGATGAGTCCCATCCTGTAGGGGAAGAGAAGCCATCAGTTGTTACCATACTTGGGAATTCCTACCTCATTGTCTCCGTGGTACATGCGGAAGGTAACCTGGGTCCCCTCAGTTCAGCTGCAGGATGTAGAGATGAGGCCTTATGAATTACTTAGGGCTGGAAACCTTGTCCACTGGCCATCTTGAAAATTGACGGGACACTGTACAATAAAAGAACTTCTGGAGACATCACAATCCCTGACTTCAAACTCTACTACAGAGCTACACTACTGAAAATAGCCTGGTATTGGCATAAAAACAGACAGGAGGACCAATGGAACCGAATCAAAGACCCAGATATTATTCCACACACCTTCAAACACCTGATTTTTGACAAGGAAGCAAACAATATCAAATGGAAGAAAGAAAGCATATTTAACAAGTGGTGCTGGCATAACTGGATATTAACATGTAGAAGAATGAAAATAGACCCATATCTATCACCATGCACAAAACTCAAGTCCAAATGGATCTAAGACCTTAACATAAAGCCAGCCACACTGAAACTCAACAAAGAGAAAGTGGGAAGTATACTTGAACGCATTGGCACAGGGAACCACTTCCTAAATATAACCCCAGTAGCACAGACACTGAGAGAAACAATTAATAAATGGGACCTCCTGAGACTGAAAAGCTTCTGTAAAGTAAAGGACACTGTCAACAAGACAAAACGACAGCCTACAGAATGAGAAAAGATCTTCACTAACCCCATATCAGACAGAGGTCTGATCTCCAAAATACACAAAGAACTCAAGAAATTTGTCATCAAAAGAACAAATAATCCGGGGCCTAAAGAATGGCTCAGTGGCTTAAGAGCATTGCCTGCTCTTCCAAAGGTCCTGAGTTTAATTCCCAGCAGCTACGTGGTAGCTCACAACCATCTGAAATGAGATCTGATGCTCTCTTCTGGCCTGCAGGCAGACACACAGACAGAATAGTGTATACATAATAAATAAATAAATAAATAAATAAATAAATAATTTTTAGAACAAAGAACAAATAATCCAATAAAAAATGGAGTACAGACTTAAACAGAGAACTCTCAACAGAGAAATCTAAAATGGCTGAAAGACACTTAAGGAAATGCTCAACATCCTTAGTCATCAGAGAAATGCAAATCAAAACAACTCTGAGATTCCATCTTACACCTGAAAGAATGGCCAAGATCAAAAACACTGATGACAACTTATGCTGGAGAGAATGTGGGGTAAAGGAAACACTCCTGTATTGCTGGTGGGAATGAAAGCTGATACAACCCCTTTGGATGTCAGTGTGGTGATTTCTCAGAAAATTAGGAAACAACCCTCCTCAAGACCCAGCAATACCACTTTGGGGTATATAGCCAAAGGATGCTCAATCATGCCACAAGGACATGTGCTCAACTCTGTTCATAGCAGCTTTGTTTGTCATAGACAGAACCTGGAAACAACCTAAATGTCCCTCCACCAAAGAATGGATAAAGAAAATGTGGTATATTTACACAATGGAGTATACACAGCAGGAAAAAAAATAATGACATCTTAATTTTACAGGCAAATGGATGGAGCTAGAAAACATCATTTTGAGTGAGGTAACCCAGACCCAAAAAGACAATTATCACATGTACTCTCTCATAAGTGGTTTTTAAACCTAAAGCAAAGAAATTCAGCCCACAAATCCCAATCCCAGAAAACCTAGACAACAATGAGGACACTAAGAAAGACTTACATAGATCTAATCTACATGGGAAATAGAAAAAGACGAGATCTCCTGAGTAAATTGGGAGCATGGAGACCTTGGGAGAGGGTTGAAAGGGGGGGGGGAGGCAGGAAGGGGAGCAGAGAAAAATGTAGAGCTCAATAAAATTGAAAAAAAAAGAAAGAAAATTGACAGGTCACTTCTCTAATTAACAAGGTGACAGGTTCAGAGACGCTTGGCATTATGAAGGAATTCTTGTCTTTATGCACATTCTCTAGGAGCTCCAGCCACAGCCACATTCTGTCTCTGCTGGCTCCTCAGTACATGGTAACCTTACACATCTCTGACCCTCCATGTGCCATCGTGTGGGCTTTGGTGTGGGCATTAGAGGGGCACAAATCCACACTTCCATCTGTCGTCTCCACAGCTCCTCCCTCCCTGGTATTTCCCTCCCACGAGCTCAGACTCTGACTCTGCAGAGCTGGGCAGCTCTGGCCCTGGTCCCCTCTGCTCACCATGCACGTGGAGGAGGAGAAGCAGGAGCCCACAGGGCACAGCAGACAGCCAGCCAGGAAGTCTACCGAGTGGCACGGTTGAATCCCTGGCAGAAGTGTGTGCTGCTACAAGATGACAGTCTCTCAGCAACAGGAAACAGAACAGGTAGGCCTTGCCCAGGCAGGAATTTAAACCTTTCAGGATGTAGGTGTGGAAAATGGTTGAGTGGGGCAAAGTTCTCATTGCAGGAGAACTGATAAGGCAGAAGTCAATAGGGAATCAATAGCCAGCAGGCAGGGCAACGACACTTCTGCAGGTTCTGCTCCTTCCCTGGACTCTTGGATAGACTTGGCATGGCATCTGAAGTCCTTCTGGAATGCCAGAATTCCTGTCCTTGAATATGAAGCCACCATGATCCCTGGCCCTTTTATTCACCAACCCAATGTGGTGTGGGAGAGAAGATCAGGGAGCAGAAAGCTGTAACAGGAGATGTCTCAGATGGAGAGAAGTGAGAGGGCAGGAGCTCTGAGTGTGACCTCATCCTCTTCCCCTCTCTCTCTCTATCAGTCTCTCTCTCTCTCTCTCTCTCTCTCTCTCTCTCTCTCTCTCTCTCTCTCTCTCTGTCTGTCTGCCTGTCTGTGTCTGTGTGGGGTATGGGGCAGGGGGAGTAAGTTTGTGTGTGCATGTGTTGACTATGAGTTCAATAACACCTTCAAGCCCTAGTGAAATGGTCCTTAATCTCCTTAATGTTATGACCCTTTAATACATTTTCTTATATTGTGGGGATCCCCAAACATAAAATCTGGCATGCAGAAATCCTGACATACCACCCCTGTGAAAGGCTCAATCAACTCCTAAAGTGGTCATGATCCACAGGTTGAGAACCACTGCCTTAATGGATAGCCAAGGCATCAGCCCATGTGCTCTCAAATGAAGAGCCTTTCTCTCTGCCCAGCTTCTGAATCCAATTGAAGCTTGTTCTCAACTCTTTCTGCTTCCTGGGTGTTGAAGATTGGCATTACAAAATCATCATTGTGGTGATGTCCTATGGCTGGCCTTCAAGGCAATGTAAAAGGTAGTATCCTAGGATGGCCTGGGTTTGTCATAAGCAGGGGCCTTGTGAGCATCAGGATCTAGAAGATGGGGGATAGAGCCCTTTAGTGACAGAGAAAATGCTTTAGGTGAACACAGAGACAGACTGAGAACATTTTATCACCTTTGTACAATGGAATATATTATAAGAGAAAGTTTTTAATACAGGGCCTAAAAAAGTTTAGGGACAACAATAAAGTCAGAATATAAATTAATAATACAGAATGATTGGTCACAAGGAACCAAAGAGTTCTTGGGGAATCTGTAAAGGTTAGAAATAGCCTTCCGTACACGGACAGGTACTCAGGGTGACAGCGATAGGATGTTATTTCCTGGACATTTCTGGATCTTCTGATGCTTCCTTCCCACTTCCAGGACACACCTCACAGTCAAACAGATTCACAGATGTCCCGAGTCTGTGAACATGAATCTCATAGCATCTCAGGCAGACTCAGACAACACACACACACACAGAGACTCACACACACAGAAATACACATAAAACACATACAGACACAGACAGTCACACACAGTCACATACAGACAGATATAAACATACTCACTATCGCACACACACACACAGCATTGTCTGTGCGGCACTGACATGAGAGCTGCTGGGAGAAGCACAGCTGTGACTGCGCACAAAGTCCTGGCCTGCTGTGCTGGGGATCAGGAAATGAGGGATAATGGAATGTTCCCCTAAGGACCTAATAAACTACAAACTCTAAGCATGAGTGAAGGTAAGTGTTTGGACACCATGGGTTTGTCGACTCTTCTTTACCTCAGAAAATGTCCTCCTTTGGATGCTGTGCCGCCCTGATCCTCTCTGCCTGGGAGTGCAGGGAGGGGTCCAGTAGACCCTCCTCCTGCTGTGTGTGTCATCTCTACAGCTCCACCTCCCTGGCACCTCCCCTCCCACAGCACCACATTCAACACAGCAGAGTCCGGCAGACCTGATGAGTTGCAACAAGAAAAGTTAAAATCCCCAAATCAGCCAAGTGAATCTTCTGCTGCAGCCCTCCCCCATCTGACCCGCAGGAATCAGCATCTTTGGTGCCACCTTTGTGGATGAGGCCAGGGCAGCAGCCACTCACAGCCACCCAAGAGTGACTTCCAACATCTTTCTCAGTCAAGTGCTCACCCTGTCCTGTGACTTGCTGCCTGCACACAATGGCCTTCCAGACAGCATCTTTGTCCATGCATCTCACTGAGGGCTCCTGCCTGTGATGACCGACAGAAAAAAACCTATGGAAATGGTCCTGCTTATAGCCTGCCTACACCCACAGTGCTTTATCTTCAAAGAAAACCTTGCCATAAAATCTTGTGTAATCTACACTGAAATGTCCTTCTGGCAGGAAGCTAAAAGGCCATATCCAGAATAGAAGTATTTGGTGGAAATAAAATTATGTGAACATATTTCTTCTCTTTCTGCATTTTGTTTTGTTTTGTTTTTTGAGACTGAGTATTATATGTAGTCCACACTGGCCTGCTCTCTCAGCTTTCAGGATCTGAGTTTAAAGGTGTGTCACAAAGCATGCAGCTAACACATCCCTTCTAAGTAATCCTGGGCATCGTCTGCAAGCCCCTGCCACTGTGATGTTCTCATGGATGACACAGGCCAGGACGAGAGAGAAGAGGACAGGCACACTCCATCCCTTTTACAGTTATCTCTGACTCTGAACCCAGGAATCCAGACAAAGAATACTCCAAAAAGTAGCCATGAGTGAATCAGGCAGACCTTCCTGCTTGGAGAACCCTGGTGACCTCCCAGAGTCTCGTGACCCACAGCAGGGGTCACAGGTGAGGTGAGTTCAGTGGATCTGACTGGGGAGACTCAGGAAGAGACCAAGAAAGTTTACGCTATCAGAATGCAGAGGTGCAGGAGGAGGTCAATGTGTCCACACTAGGGGAGTGTAAGTGCTGCACACACACCCTGGGTCTTTCTGGTTCAACTTCTGATAAGAGCCTGAGAGTTGCTGGTAGGCCCAGAGCACACACACCCTTTGCTCTGCAAGCCTGCACCAGGGTAGGTGTATGGTGAAGGAAACACAGGGACCACCAAGGTCAACTGAGGTATGAGGGACACCAGGAACTTTTGTGCGTCCCAATAACTCTGTGCCTTTTGAAGGCTGACAGGCCACAGTTCTGTCCTAAGGGGTGACACACTCACAGATACCTGGTGAAAAGCTGAAAGGGGGACAGCAGACTTGTTCCGTGGCTGGGTTTTGGTCATTTCCCTAGTATAGTACAATCAGGACTTGTCCTATCCCTCTGCTCTCAATTAGATGCATACTCTGTGATCCCAGTTCCTGCCCGGGCAAATCCTGTCTCCTCAATTCCCTGATTGAAGGAACAGCTGAGGTGTGGAGGTTGAAGGTCTCCAGGTCCTCCAAGCTCAGAGTCGGAGAACCAGTTTCTCTAGTTAACCGGACGGTATTGTAATCTCCCGAATCCTGGGCTTCTGCAGCAAACTGGAGGAGGGCCCCGTGCACTCTGCCACTCAGTGCACTGGCATTCAGGCCAAGACCATAGAGAATGTGGGACAGAGAGTCTCACTAGTCATTGTCTGTATATGAGGAAATTGTGAAAGAGTGTGTGTGTGTGTGTGTGTGTGTGTGTGTGTGTGTGTGGCGGGAAGGGAGTAAAGCTCAAGGAAGCAGCTGAAATGAGACACCACTTCACACCCATTTAATAGAATCAAACTTAAGACCCATAAGCAAAAATGTTGGCAAAGCCATGGAGCAACTGATACAACTACACACAGACAGAGGGGAAGTACAGTGATTAGCTGGTGATCTGAGAAGGCAATTTCACCTTTTCTCTGAATGTCAAACACATTTGTTCTATGCGGAAGGACAGCAGGACTTTAGCCTGAAGAAACAAGTGGATGTCTTCACACCAAGCCATGAGTTCTGTTTGTTTGCTTGTATTTTGTTTTGTTTTGACACAAGAGCTCTCTACGTAGTCCTGGCTGTCTGAGTGCTCACTCTGTAGACCAGGCTAACTCCAACTCACAGATTCACTTGCCTTTGCCTCCTGAGCGCCTGGATTAAAGTCGTGTGCCACCGTGCCCAGCTCAAGGTCTTGTTTGAAGACGTGCAGGACGGCTTGATTAAAATAGCCCAAACCAGAAGTCACTCGGATGTGCGCCGACAGGTGAGTGGGTGCAAGGCGTTCACTCACAATCAAAGGAAAGTGTCATTTGAATCTCAGCGACATAACGCTCAATGACAGAATCTTTCACACATGACTCTTCTCCGTGATAGGGTAGACAAGACTCTGAGGGTTCTGAATTGTATTCTATTTCCAAACATCAGCTCCAGGAAGCAGTCAGTTGGTTGCCAGGAAACAGGGCTCACGTCAATGGTTAATGAAAAGAAGCATAGAGAAACATTTGTTGGTATTCAGAAAACAGTCTCAAACCCAAAGTGGGTGTGGCTACATGCCTCATATTTTATCCCACTACCCTAAGCTGTGGGAGTAAATGAGTGAATTTGAGCGCATACTCTTATCATTTGACAAAAAAAAAGCCCTACAATAATAAGACAAGTGCTGAAATCTACAAGGTCCACCGCTAACACTCTGTTCAGCTGCTGAAATAAGCTTGCAACCAGCAAGAGACTCAGGCTCCAGCAGAACCAGCCCGCAGTTGTGGAACTTTGTCTTTGTCTGCCCTCTGGTGCCCACGGTGAGCAATGCAAGAGTCGTCACTTCGTGATGTCCTGTGGTCTGTTTTCAATGCAGTTTACGGAAAAAAAAAAAAAAAAAAAAAAAAAAAAAAGACAGACTTGGTACACCTGGGAAAACCAGAACTCCAAAAAGGCGGTTTCTCAGAGGCAAGAAGCTATGGCTATTTCAGGCCTATAGGAAGAAGATCTAGCTGTGTGGTGATAGAGACGAAATGTCTTAGGAAAAGACTTGCAGACACCACAATTTGGCACCCTTATAGGAAGACAGAGTAGAAGGGAGGGGTTTCGTTTTTCTTTGCTTAGAGGACAAATAAAAGAACTTATGGATGAAAATAAGGTAAGAATGGAAATTAATGACATGGGGGACCAAGGACAATAGGGGTGTCATAAGAGCCATGGGTGTGTAGGGAATTTTAAAAAGCATAAGGACCCTCGATACATGGATAGGTGCTCAGGGAGACGGGGAAGGGACAGCAGTCTCTTCTGATGGACATGTCTGGCCTTTCTGACACCCCCATCCTCATTTCAGAAACCCACAGGCAAACATCTTCACGGTATAGATGGGATCTCTGTCCACGAAACTTATGAAACACCAATTATGCTTGACACTTGTCACAGCAAGAGACAACTCGCTGAGGTAGTCGTTTGGAGACCCTCCTCAATAACGCTTCACCCTCTATGATGATATGAGAAAGTTGTGCCATGCTGTGCGGTGAAGTGAGCTGTCTTGGAGTGAAAAGTCCAGCTCCAGAAAATTTGTGACCATACTGTGGAAAATAAACGCAGGAGCTCACTCCTGTAAATCCTGTTTATTCACAGAAGACCCTACCAACTTGATGGTCCCTGCGAAACCAAGCCTGGATGGAACGGAGAGGATGGGACTCAACCCTGCCCTCTAGTGGTTGTAAATGATTCTGCCGACGGCAGTCACAGATTTTTCTAGGCTGGGAACAGGATTGGGTCAGGCTGACGTTTGCTGACGTTTTCTGTCTCCAAAGACACTGGTGACCTCAATAGCCTGGTTGGCATCAGGCAAAAGAGAAAGTGTGGTAGGGAGGGGCTAAGGGATAAAGTAAGTGCTGCCTCCTTAGGGTAGGTCAGATTCAAGTGGCCTAGCAGGGGTCACCAGGGTACACATTAGGATGCCCTGTGCATACACACACACACAAGGCCATCCAGGCTCAGCTGCTACTGCCTGACACATCCCCTTTGTCCTGGAAGTCAAGCCATTGTTTTGCCCCAGGTCTAAGTGTTCTACAGGGAGAACAGAACACAGGGGCCTCCTAGTGCAGGTGTGGGGTGTGGGGCCAGGAGTTTCTGTACCTTCCTGGACAGGGAACCTTGCTGGGAGCCCTTTTCATCAGTCAGTCAATGCCAGAGAGCACATTCAGAACCAAATGCCAGAGGGAAGCCGTTATTACCATCTTTATCCCACGGTGAGTAACAGCTCCAACCACTTCCACAGCCACTCACAGAGAATGAAAATGTCCCAACCCTCACCCACCCACCCCCACCTAGAGGTGTCTAACCTCCAAGTTCAGCACTCCTCAGAGCTCCTTGTGCTTGACTGGATCCTGAGTTGGATGTCCTCAGGAATATCTGACCCTCCCAATGCCACAAGAGACTCTGGATCTATAAACGTTTTTGGCAGTTCTTTGGGTGGGAATAAACTCTATACCCTAGCGCTGTCTCTCTCTCTCTCTCTCTCTCTCTCTCTCTCTCTCTCTCTCTCTCTCTCTCTCCATGGAGAATCTATCTATCTCTCACCTGCCAAGGCCTTGGGTGGCCCACCGCTGCCCCTCGTGGGACTGGCCTCAGGTCACCTGCATTATGCATTATGTTTATGAATGATAACACAACCATCCCCAATCATCAACCCTCCACAAGCTCCTCTCTGGGGTGCATCCTCACCCTCAGGCTCAGCCTCTGACTCTACACAATTGTGTAATTCTTATTCAAGTCCCTGTGCTCTGCAATGGTCGTCTCCTGCACTGGGAAGAGGAGAATCAAGGGCCCACATATCCCAGCATGTAAACAGGCAGAAAGTCTGTCTGGCCACATTACACTAACTTCAGCGTCTTGGTCTGCGTCTGCACTGTCATTAGGCATGGCTGTGTCTCACAGACAAGCCACAGCACATCAAGGCCGCCTCCTGAAGTTTGACCCAGACACTGTAGGCTGAGCACACAGTGTGCCTGGCAAGATCATTGTGCCTGAATAGGAGGCTAAGGCCACAGGCCGCAGTGTGCCTCTGACCAGCAAGCAGGGGAGAGCCTCCTCCAAGAGGTCCTTTGAGACATCAGGAACATTTCTCCTAGGTCTTGAGTCCTTGTGTTAACTTCCCCTGTAATCACATTCCCACTGTGGGGTTTTGCCTGGAAAGAAGAGTGCAGGAAGCTGTAAGCAGTACATTCTCGGGCCCCAGATGGAGAATAGGGCGGACTTTCGGGGAATTTGATCTGGGTAAGGAGAACTGCACGTGCACACCCAGCGAGAGCTCGGTGGAAAGGGGCGGGGGGCCTCATCCCAAAAAAATCCTTTTTGCTTCCAGGACTCATAGTTTACGGGCTCCACCTACAAGTATACACCATCTTTTCTATTTTAATTCCTAGCCTGAGAGGCTATGTCAACCCTCCCCAACTCATGCGTAAATATGACGTTCTCAAGTTCATGATCGCTCGTCTACTTTAAAAGCATGTAATTAGTGCCTGCCGATCCCTGTTCGGGGAAAACAGCGTGACTTTTGTGGATCTACGGTTCCGTGATAGCCGGAGAGCGAGTTTGAGCATCCGAATGCCCTTTCGGCCTAACCTCCTGAAGAGGGTGGTTTGGGTTCAATCTCGAGGGGCTTTTAGTGCCCTTGTCAAACGGTATTGGCTTCTGCGTTCCAGCTCCCAACAGGATCGCACGGCCAAGAGCCGCGGGAGTCTCTTCTGATCCTCTGGCGAGAGCTACCAGCATTCCCCGGCTCCGCGTAGGCTGCACAATATTTTGCAAACTACCGGTCGAGTCCCAGGAGCGTGGCAGGTCCCTTGCGCGACCCCGTAGTCACACCACGCCCTCGCCTCATTCCCAGGAAGTGCGCCCGCCGTAGGAGCGGAAGTACACACCACCCGGGGGTTGTGGGAACCACAGTTCCGGGATGGTGGGCGGCGGTGGAGGAGCTGGTGGCGGTGGGCGCGGCGGGCTTCTCGAGAACGCCAACCCCCTCATCTATGAGCGCTCCGGGGAGCGGCCAGTGACGGCGGGCGAGGAAGACGAACAGGTGCCCGACAGCATCGATGCCCGCGAGATCTTCGATATCCGCCGCTGCTGGGCGCTGGCGGGACGGTGGGGGCTTGGGGTACCGGGAAGAAGTGATGTGCAACACACGCTGGTGGAGGGGTGTCCCGGTTAGGCATGCCTGCGGAGGTTCTGAGTGGGCCAAAACTTAGAGTCCCTTTTCCTTCACTTGGCACATCTCATTCGGTCCATTAATGACCCCGAGCATCCGCTGACACTAGAGGAGTTGAACGTAGTAGAGCAAGTTCGGATTCAGGTGAGTCACCGGCAGCATCAGAGTGTGGGAGCTTGTTCAGATAGTTTTAAAAGGTTCCGTTATACATTAGAGGCTGGCGTTCACCATCCACAAACGGCGAAGAGGTTGTTTTTCCACTTTATGGCTGTGATTAAAACTGAAGCCCATAAAAGTTAGGTGACTTGCCCAAATCAATAAACTAAAGAGAGGGTCTCGCCGGGCGGTGGTGGCGCACGCCTTTAATCCCAGCACTCGGGAGGCAGAGGCAGGCGGATCTCTGTGAGTTCGAGACCAGCCTGGTCTACAGAGCTAGTTCCAGGACAGGCTCCAAAGCCACAGAGAAACCCTGTCTCGAAAAAAGAGAGGGGGGGGGGGAGGGTCTCTGTGCTAGGAGCGGTCTGTGATCTTTCCAATCTCCCTTGTCAACCCAGGTTAGCGACCCCGAGAGCACAGTGGCCGTAGCTTTCACACCCACCATCCCACACTGCAGCATGGCGACGCTTATTGGGCTGTCAATCAAAGTCAAGCTTCTGCGATCCCTTCCCCAGCGCTTCAAGGTCAGTTGGAGTCGAGCCTAAGGGTGAAACAGCTACTGAGGAGAGGGGACGTCAGACTGGAAGGATCCCACCTCGCAGAGATGAGCTGCGAGGAAACGCCAAGCTGATGTGACAAGAAGTACTCCAGAAAATAGTGAGGAATGTGGCAGAAAGGGAAGCCGCAGATGGGCTTGCTGGAGGCACTGGCACACCTTTAAGTCAGTAGCAGCTGAGGGGGTCCTTGGGTAGAAGTGGATGGACTGCAGGTGGGCTTGGGGTGGGACAGAGGGGCCAGGATCAAGAGGAGTGATTAGAAGGAAGGTAGGGACATGGTGTCCAAAGGGAAGGGACCGCCCCCCTTGAAAAAGGACAAACACATAAGTGCTCAGTCACAGGTTGTCTTTCTCCCAGATGGATGTGCACATTACACCCGGGACCCACGCCTCGGAGCATGCAGGTTAGTGTGGGCTGGTGGGGAAGTTGATTGTTTAACCCCTAGGTCCCAGCTGTGTGAGACTTTCCCTTTGCTACAGCAGTTTATAAGGAAAGTTAGGACTTAGGACTAGGGGTCTAAGTGAACAAAATTACGAGACTCCAGCCTAGACCAAACTGGCCTGACTTAAATCTCCTGCTTCCCATGAACTTCCCTCTGATATTCCCCAAGGACATTGTGTCAGGCTTCAGGAAATACTGGAGACAGACTGAGCAGTCCCTGGAGGTATGGGGACGAGAGCGTTTCCCGACAAGAGAGTGTGGGCACAAGTGATAAGGATATCCTGATCAAGGCTTGCAGTCCCGAGAAGGTGATACAGGACCTTTATTGGTAGAGGTAGAATCTGTACTGAGGCTAGCAGTCTGGCTAGAGTTGCTTTTTAACCCTGTTTTTTCCACCCCTCTTTCCTACCTAGTGAACAAACAGCTTGCAGATAAGGAGCGAGTTGCAGCCGCCCTGGAGAATACCCACCTACTAGAGGTCGTTAATCAGTGTCTGTCAGCCCGCTCGTGAGCCAGGCTTTTGACCACCAGCCTGCACACAGGTGTCCTGGCCTCAGCTCCACCAAGAGCTTGTGGCTTTGTTTTCTTGAATCACTGACAATGAGAAACTAACATTTTTCATTTTGTAATAAACCCTTAATTTATATTCATTTCCCAGCATGCCTCAGCATCTTTCATGATGGAGTCATTTGTCATTGTAGAGGGGCTAGAAAGATGGCTCAGCAGTTGAAAACACTTAACTGCTCTTAAAGAGAACCTGGGTTGGGCTGGAGAGATGGCTCAGTGGTTAAGAGCATTGCCTGCTCTTCCAAAGGTCCTGAGTTCAATTCCCGGCAACCACATGGTGGCTCACAACCATCTGTAATGAGGTCTGGTGCCCTCTTCTGGCCTGCAGACATACACACAGACAGAATATTGTATACATAATAAATAAATAAATATTTAAAAAAAAAAAAAAGAGAGAGAACCTGGGTTAGGTTCCGAGCACCCACATGGAGGCTTCCAACCATTTATAGCTTCAGTTCCAGGGGATCCAACGTCCATGGGAACCAGGCACACATATGGTACCCATACATGCATACATTCAGGCAAATACTCATGCACATAAAATAAATCAGTAAGTTGGGTGTGGTGGTGCACACTTTAGTTCCAGCACTCAGGGGACTGAGGCAGGCAGATCTCTGCTTTCTGAGGCCAGCCTGGTCTGCATAAAGAATTTCAGGATAACTAAGGCTATATAGAGAGACCCTATCTCAAACGAATGAAAATAAATCTCTTTTTCTTTTTTCTTTTTATTTTAGCTCTTCCATTGTTTCAGTTAGCAAACGTTGCACATGTAAAAAAAAAAAAAAAAAAAAATTTTTTTTTTTTTTGAAATACATAAATATACCTGAATAGCCAAGCTACCAATGGGTTCAACTCAGTAGATTCAGTTGACCTGTTGTGACACTGGCCTTATTTATGTGTGTTTATAGAACTACTTCTTCAGAAACATAAAGAACCATGTCCTAAATTGATATACATCTTTTGTCTCAGTTTCTTTTCTGGTTCCTGTTGTAAGATATCATCAATATGGCAACTTATAAAAGAATGTTTATTTTAGGGCTTACAGTTTGAGAGGGCTAGAGACCATAATGGCAGAGCAATGACATGGCAGCAGGAACAGCTAAGAGCTCACATCCTTATCCACAAGTTGGAGTCAGAGAGAGGGGGACACTGGAATAGTGAGTCTTTTGAAACCTCAAGGCCTACATGCAGTGAGACACCTCCTCCAACAAGTCCACCCCTCCTAATTATTCCTAGTTCTACTGCTGGAAACCAAGTGTTCAAATACATGAGCCTATAGGGGTCCTCATTCAAACTACCACCACAACTGTATAACAGTTCTTTGTCTGGACAGAAATTGAGCCATTCTGCTCTGAGAATGGAAGTGTATGCCTGTAATTCCAGCACATGAGAGGTGGAGGCAGAAGGACCAGAAGTTCAAGGCCAGCCTTAGCTACATAGTGAGTTTAATGTCAGCTTGGGCTATTACATGAGATTGTCTCAAAACAAAAGACTAATATCCAGTTTCCAGTCCTGTGTGAGCTTTCCAGAAGCAGCACTTAGATCTTCACTGTGTGTCTATGTGTTGTGTTTGGTTCTCCTTGTCTTCTAAGATTTTCTCTCTCCTTCTTCCCACTGGGAGTCAGTTTTCCATAACTACATAAAGTAATTTATGAAGAAAGCAAGTTTGGTGGCTGGAGAGACGTTCTTCTAGAAGATCTGAGTTTGGCTCCCAGCACCCATATCAAATACTCAGACCCACCTGTAACTCCAGCTCCAAAGGACCCAGAACCCTTTTCTTGCCTCCGCAGGCACTCAGCACACAATGTGGCATATGCACACACATACATATAAATAAAAAACAAGTCGGGTTTTGTTTTGATTTGCTCTTTTTAGAAGAAGAGGACTGGAGAGAGAACTCAGCCTATCAAGGTACTTGTTCCTCTCGCAGAGAACCCAGGTTTGATTACTGGCACCCACATGGTGGCTCACAAGCATCCATAACTCCAGTTCCAGGGATTCTGATGCCCTCTTCTGGCCTCTGCAGACACCAGGCATGCCTATGATGCATAGACATACATGCTGGCCAAATTATCTTTAAAAAGTAGATTTATTTTGTTTCTGAAAGACTCTCGAAGAGGTCCTTCTCTCGGGAGGAGACCTCCCCGACGCCAAGGAACAGGCCAAGACCACACGGATGCAAATTGCAAGAGGTTTATTGGGTAGACACAGGTACCTGCGGGCAGCAAAGTCTTTCAGAGGACTTGCACCTGCCGACAGGAGGGCGGGTTTTTTATAGGGAAGAGCAAAAAGCAAGTTTACAGAAGCAAAAGCGTGGTTATCGGAATGAGGCAGGGGCATGAATGGTTTCCTCTCTCAGCATGGGTGTCAGCAAAAGTCATCCTGTTCCTATCTTATAGATATCCTGTTTTGCAGTCAACCTGCTTTGTTGATGTCCTATCTTATTGATATCCTGCCTTGCAGTCTTCCTATCTCATCCTGCTCTCTCAAGCACATGGGATGTTCTTACGAGAGCAGGCTGGCTGCTGCGGGTTTTGAGGAGGGGATCTGTAGGGTCTTTCAGTTTCATTGCTGTGGAGGTTTTAGTCCATTATCGGTGCTGTTGTTTTAGGGCCTGTGGTGTAGCAGCGCATTGCTGCAGAGCATGTAGCAGAGAAAAAAGGTTACAGTCAAGTGCATGTTCCTGAAGAGCTCCCGCTGGGCACGACCTCGACCTCCACCTCCTCCCTGTGGCTCCACTTGGAAGAGTGAGCCTTTGACACCTGGCCCTCGGAATGTTTGCAGAGCCCACCCTGTACGTCTTAACTCTTGACCTTAAAAAAAGAGGAAAAAATCCAAGAGAGTTGTTTTAGGCAAGTCCCACCATGTGGTGTGTTTCTTTGACCACTGGAATGAGCTCAGGCTTGAGGGTTTGCCCAGGAGTGGTGTGTGTGTGCTGTGACATTAACCTGCACATAGGATACCTTTGCCCACCGGTAGTGATGCCCAGGTTAAAATAGCAATACTCATTTTCTCTCCGGAAAGGGTACCGGGGAATCCTCACCATCCATCCTTCAGGGGTTTGTGTTACCCGGGTGCTGGGTAAGAGAAGCTCGGCTCTATAAAATGATATGACCATGTCAGGGGCCTCTGCCTCCTGTTGCCCTGTACCCCGATTGCCATTTGTCATCTCAAGAGAGATCATTGTTCTCAGATCTTAGCCATTCGGAAGCTCTTTCCCAGGACTGCCTCCGGTTTTCCTGCTTCAGTCTCCTCTCTGATGGGACTGCCCACCCCTATGGGAGCCCAGACATGGCTATTGGCGGTGTCCTCATTATCAGAGAGCCTGGGCCCTTTAAGATCTGTTGAGTTACTTGCTTGTTTGTTTGTTTTAGCTTCTTGAGTCGAGGTCTCACTGAGCAGCCCAGGCTGCCTCAGAGTCCTGAGTGCTGGGATTATCCATCCGTGCCCAGCAAATCACCCTGCTCTGCGTGCTGGTTGCTGTTCTTCCTTATCTACCCTTTGCAGGTGAGGAGTGATCTAGGAAAATATCCGGAAGACTTCCCACTACAGATAAAATACTGCTCCTTCGTGGGAGTCGCTGTTGCCTCTGTAGAAAGGCCTGGGCCCATCCCAAACCACTGCTCTTATTGCCTCAGTTCATTCTTAGCAAAAGCTGGATGTGACCACCCAAGACCGAGAAGATGGAGCCATTGGCCCATGGCATCTCTTTGGGACTGCTCTGTGCACATGTAAACTTTCCCTTGGCCTAGCTCAAATGATCTCCCAGACACTTTGGTTCACAGGTGAAAGAACTGAATGTTTCAGAGAGATGGGGTGACCCACCAGAGTGACTAGGCCCAGAGATCCTTTCCAAGTTGTGGGGCTCACCACATGTGAACCTCAGCGTGGCAAGCCCCATCTGTCTGAGATGGCCATGGTATCTGCATTCAGCCATGTTCAGAGTAGTCAGGTGCTTTTGAGTCACGCTGATTGACTTTCCTGGTGGCCAGGCCACTGGAGTGAAAGATACCAAGCACTAGCTTTTCAGTCCTTAATCTTTTTAATGTTATTTTATTTATTTATGTGTGTGTTGGTGTTTTGTCTGCATGTATGTCTGTGTGAGGGTGTAGGATCCCTTAGAACTGGAGTTAAACACAGCTGTGAGCTGCCACGTAGCCACTGGGAATTGAACCCAGGTCCTTTGGAAGAACAGTCAGTGTTCTTAACCACTGCACCACCTCTCCTGCCCCACTTTGACATTCTTGGCTCATCTGTCTTGGCTGTCTGCGAGACACCACCTGTGAATACTGAACCAGCACCCAGAGAACTTTCTGGAACCCCAGCTGTGCTGTGAAGGCATAGCGGCGGTTGGAGGAGGATGAAGTTTAAGATCTCTGAGACCGTCCACCACACATATCTAGCTGTGCTATTTCTGGACTGTGATCTCTCCAGCCTCGGTTACTATGTCTACACAATGGGAATAACAAATCACAGCTAAATGAGACTGCCTCAGAGGTTAGATGACACAAATGAACACGCTCAGCTGCGTTTATTTTCTCCCACCATCCTGCCCTTGACACAGTTAGTATGGCTCTGCTCAGTGAAATGAATGAAGTCACAGAAGAGACCAGGGGCCCTGAAATCAGAGGACCGTCGTGGGGGGGGGGGTGCTCAAGTTTAGCTGTATTTGTTATTTTTCTCATTGCTGTGACAAAATCCATGACGAGGGACAACTGGGGGAAGGAAGAGTTTGTCTTGGCTCACAGTTTGAGGATATACACCATGGTAAGGAAGGCATGACTTCACACACGTGAGGCCGCTGGACATGTTGCACCAAAATTTGGGAAGCCAAGTGAGATGAATGCCGGTGCTCGGGTCACTTTCTCCTTTTTATAACCTTGGATTCCAGTTTATGGAATGATGCTACCCGAATTCAAGATGGGTCCTCTCTCCAGTTAAACCTTTCTGAAAACACCTATAGACACACCCAGAAGCCCATGACAATTCTAAATACAGTCAAGCTGGCAATGGAGATTAACCCTCAGAGCATCCAAGCGCTGTTTTCAGCATTTAGTCACCTGAGGGAGGAGTGGGAAGGGTC